GCCTATCCCCCAATATAGACCCCTGGCTAGACTCCCAGTCCACACTTCTGCTCTTCAGCTCCTTTGCTAATTTGTAAGCACATTAAGGATGCCCCCGCCTCAGGGCATTTACACAGGTCGTCCCTCTGCCTATAATGATGTCCTGACTCCCAGGTCCTCAGGGCACACTGGAAGACCACATCCCCAAGAGACCTTCTCAAGATCTCTTCCCACATCCCTAAAAAGGCCGTCCTATCAAATATAGCAGCCCTGTCACCCCCTAACCCCTCCCTCTGCTTTCCTTTTCCTCATAGTCCTTAGGACTACGTGATATGTTTCTACATGTCACTTTACATAATGAGAATCTAAGCTCCAGGGGGGTTGGAAGTTTGCCTTTTTACTGTTGTGTCCCTGATTCCAAGAACTGTGTCTGGTACACAGTAAGTGCCCAGTAACAATCCTGAATGAATGATGGAACAAATGAATGGGCCTGGAAAGGGCCATTCACACAGGATGTGAATCTTTTGAGAAGAGGCTCTGAGAGATGGGACAGAGACAACATGCTCTCTGAGGTCTACGGGCCTGGATGTAGAGCTTGTGTGGCACAGGGGGGAGAGGGGTGGCAGTGGAGAGAGACCCAGAACAGTTAGGGCACAGAGATACTGGATGCCAGCATACCAGAGTTGAGGAAAGAAAATGTAGAAACCCAACAACATAAGCATTAGGTTTTTGTAGGGTGGCCCCTGCAACAACACACCCTTCCACCCCATCAGTTCTGCTCCTGCCCGTCCTCCCTGAAATTGCTTATCTCTCTAATATCCAACACTTGTTGAGGTAGTAAGAAGGGTGTCACTCTCACACCACAGTGAGGAACCATGAGAGACAAGAACAGGTGAGGAATTTCAGGGTGAGAGGCTGGCGTGCAGGGCAGGACAGCCAGGCAGCTGGAGAGGGGCAGTTCCTCACCACGATTCTGTTCAACTCAGATCAGTTTCCTTTTGGCTTATCTCTGTGGCCAGTTCCTAGCAACTGTTGGTGGTTTCCTACTTCAAGGGATGAAAGGTAATACAAGCATTGGGAGGGAGGGGGGAAAACAACTTCAAATCCATATATAGCCACCATCCAGTGAAACAAATACCATGCTGAAGATATTTCTAAGCATCTAGAAAGGCCTCCTTTCACACACGGAAACTGAAATGGTGCCATGGTTAATCCTGAATAATGCAGAGTGTCCAGAGAGACAAATCCATAACTGAAACATTTTAATAAATCTTGCAGGAGTCCCATGACCCAAACACCAATCTCTACAAGCGGTGGTCAAGTACGGTTTCTTATGTTGGTCTCACAAGTTTTGGCTTTTGAGTAATAACAATAACAGCTAATACTTCTTTAGCACAAGTCATGTTTGCACTGGTCTGAACTTGTGTGCAACCTCCAGTGCAGGTGTGATGTGTTAAGAACTCCCTTAGCCTAAATAGCGAAGTGGAGAGCCAGAGGGAAGAGCCAATTTATTGAAAGATTGCTCAACAAGTCAGGGTAGGAGCATGAATAAAGGTTGGGTCTTCCGGTTCTTGAGTCTTTATGAAATCTTGACCTTGCCTTGGTAACATTATAAGGCCAAACATGAGAAGGGGTGGAAATTGCAAACAAGCATATGTGACCTTTGTAAAGTATGTGGTAGATCATGAGAAAAAAAAATAGTACGTTTTCTACCAGTAAAAATAAGGGGTGGAGGACAGTTGGGCATTTTCTTTAAAAGCTAAATATACTCTTACCACGTGATACAGCAACTGCACTCCTTGATATTCACCCTGATGAGCTGAAAACATCCATCTACACAAAAACTGGCACACAAATCTTTACAGTAGTTTTATTCGTAATTGCCAAGACTTAGAAGATGACCTTCAGTAGGAGAGTATATACACAAACAATAGTATATTCATACAATGGATATCATTTGGCAATAAAAAGAAATGAGCTAGGAAGCCACCAGACATAGAGGAAGCCTAAATGTATATGACTAAGTGAAAGAAGTCAATCTAAAAAGGCTACATATTGTATGATGTCAACTATGTGGCATTCTGGAAAAGGCAAAACTATGAGGTAATACAAAGATCCGTGGTTGCCAGGGGTTTGGGAGGAGGAAGTGCAGAAAAGGCAGAGCACAGAGGATTTTTAGGGAATAAAACTCTACGTGTCATCAGATGTTTGTCAAGCCCACAGAATGAACATCTCCAAGAGTGAACCCTAATGGAACTATGGTTTGATATGTCAGTGCAGATTCATCAATCTTTTTTTTAAGATTTTATTTACTTATTTGAGAGAGGGGGCATGAATGGGAGGAAGGGCAGAGGGAGAGGGAGAAGCAGACTCCCTGCTGACCAGGGAATCATGACCTAGGATCATGACCTGGGCCTAAGGCAGATGCTTCATCAACTGAGCCACCCAGGTGCCTCTAGATTCATCAGTTCTACCAACTGTACCCCATTGGTGTGGTGCTGGTGGAGGGGACTGGGAAGGGGTATGTGGGGGTCTCTGTACTTTCTGTTTCATTTTGCTATGAACTACTCCAAAAAAATTAATAATAAAGTCCATTAAAAAAAAAGAAAAAAGGAAAAAAAAAGTCACCGGTAAGCCTATGAGGGCCACAGTAGAACCCAGCAGCTTGGAAAGAGAGAATCTGAGAGTGCGTCCCTGACCTTGTGCTTGTTCTAGAGGCAGTGAGGGTGCTTGATGCACATCCAAATGAACTGAATGCCTCCTAAGTTTCCCTCACAAGGACATCCCACAGCATTGTATAGAACTCTTGCACTATAATTTTGGCACAGGAAATCAGTGAGCTCTTGCTGCAGGTCACAGACTAGGAGGTGGCACCGCAGAGATCCAAATGACATTCCCTGACTCTAGGTCCGGTTCTCCCCATTAAGTCACTGCTAGCAAGGGGAAAACAGTGACTAGGGAAAGGTTTGCTTTACTAAATATATTATGCTTCAGAGTCAACTTTGCACATATGCATCCAGAGCAGGTATACGGATGAACTGAGTTTGTAGACAGAGAGAAAGTATGAAGCCACCTCAACAGCAAGATCGTTTATTTCCTTTACCATTAAAAGAAAAGTCAGGGGGCACCTGAGTGGCTCAGTGGTTGAGCATCTGCCTTCAGCTCATGTCATGATCCCAGGGTCCAAGAATTGAGTCCCATATCAGGCTCCCCACAGGGAGCCTGTTTCTCCCTCTGCCTCTACCTCTGCCTCTTTCTCTCTGTGTCTCTCATGAATAAATAAATAAAACCTTACAAAAGAAAAGAAAAGTCAGAAGCTACAGGGGAGAAAATAGGGAAGAGGAATCAATAGAGAGTCATGATAACTATCCAGAGTGACAGCCTTCCTGGAATTTCCCATACCGAGGACAGAGGCCATCTGTACTGGACAAGCAGAGACCCAACCTTCCTGGGAGTCACCTTGGGGAGTCACTGTCTGTGTGATGGCGAGGTCGGCAAGTCTTTGCAGCTCTGGAGTCAGGCCAAAGGAGACTGCCTCGCAGCCCAGCGACACCATGGGGGTGGCCCAGGGCCAGGCCACCTGGCTCAACTGTCACAGCCAACAGCCTGAAGCAGGCCTAACGGGAGGGCTGAAGTAGCCAGAAGGTGCAGAAATGCAGAGAGGTGGGGAGGCAGGTAGTGGTAGAAGCTGAAGCAGAAAGCTTTATGCTCTCCAGGACTAGGCCCTAACTATAGTGCTCGAACTCCCTGGTGTCCTCACTGCAATGACTTAAATCTTTTAAAGTCGCATCTTATGTGCTGCAAGATGTCCCCCGTAACTCCAATTACCACAGAGTTTTCTCCACCCACAGGACTGACTGTCTTCCTTGGCCAACGGCAAGTCTCACAACCCCAAAGATGCTGTGTCACCCACCATCCCAAGGCCTGTCTTACACCGAAAGCCCAAACAGAAGGCAGGCAGAACCCACACAGCCCCTACGCTGGGCATTGCCAGACACCAGAGCCTCCCTCCACAGTTCTGGTTGTCTGTTCAGAGAAACAAGTCCCTCTCGGAATAGCCTCACCAGCATTTGATGAGGAAAGGCACAGAGCCTCTGCTGTAGTTAGTTTCCAGATCTGACCCCTCTAGGCCCAGGAAGACTTCACCAAGTCTCCTTTCTTGCCCACTGTGCATTCCCAGGGACCGAGCGCCATCTTCCTGCCTCTTCATGGACATACCATCTCCTTCTTCTGTCTCCAAGCCTGGGTGGAGACAGAGAAAATCATCTACCTCCCCATTTCCCTGCTGCTCCAGAAAAACAAAGGCTTCACTCCTTACAGTTGCAGGGGAGCGGAAGGAGGCAACACACACACTGACACACTTCCGGTGCCTGACAAAGCTCTTGTCTTAATATCATGAGTATGACTTTCAGCCCCCTTCCCAGATAGTGACGATAGGTGTCCTTTGGACTTTCTCTTCTATTTTTATTCTAAGAGCTCATCTAAAATCTTTCTCATTCTGACCTAGACTTTTCCAAAGATTATGCAGAGCCCATATTCCCAGGTGGTCCCTACGGAAGCAGTCAAGATAAAATGTTAATTACTGTTAGTTGGGCCTATGACAGTACTTGGCAGGCACTGTTAAAAGATGGCTTAAAGCATTAGCTAAGATCCTCACAGCAATCTGTGAGGTGGGCATAGTATCCCATACTACAGGCAGGACACTGCAGCTCTGAGAGGGTGAAGTTGCGGTGAGTGACAGAGCTAGGATTCGAACCTGGTTGATGCCAAACCTAGTCTTTCTAACCACAACAATCTCAGAGGTGCAAAGGAAATCAGGAACTTAGGCTACTAATGGCCAGGGATCCAGAATTCAGCAGAGTTCAGTGGCGTTTTTGGAGAACTCTGTCCATAACATAATAGTGCTTTGCAAATTCAGCTTTGGCCTAGAGCTCAAAGGATTGTTACCAGCGTCAAGTGGTGACTAGGAGGCAACCAGGAAAGTCTGGGAGGGATGGGAGGAAACGAGGTCCAGGCGCCGTTCAAGGACTCGGGGCTGTGGAAGCTTTAGCGCAATGACAGGTGTCAGGGCTCCGGTCCCCAGCACTGTCCGGGGCCGGCCGAGCCCAGGGACGGAGCTGGGCCCCTTGCGCCCACCGAGAGGCGCATCTTGGCCCCGGCGTGGGCGGTCGGCTCCGGGAAGCAGACTCCCCAAGAGCAGAGCCTCCTGTTCTGAAGACGCTGACGGGGACCCCGTCTGCCCGCTGGCTGGGGACTCCGGGCAGAACCCCCCTCCAGGCGCTCAGCTCCCGGCTGTCCGCGGCCGTGGGCTCCGTGTGGTCCACAGCAGCCCGGTCCTGCCCGCGCTTCCACAGCTCATAGCGCTCAGGTTGCAGGATGCGCACGAAGGCGTCCATGGAGAAGGTGACCCTGGCCTCCCCGCAGCTGCACTGAGAGGCCACTTTGCCGTAGTCGATCCAGCGCGGGGTGGCGAAGTTGATGGCCTCTGCGCAGTTGAAGCCGTGGTTGAAGCCAGAGTGGTAGCCGTAGGGAAACGTCACCATGAACTCGCCAGCCTCCTGGGTGATCCGATTGAAGGGGATCCCGTTGTCCCTGAGGACCGTGGGCGAGATGAGAGCCACCTTGTGCCTCAGGAAGGCCTCTCAGGGGATCCCTGGGTGGCGCAGCGGTTTGGCGCCTGCCTTTGGCCCAGGGCGCGATCCTGGAGACCCGGGATCGAGTCCCACGTCGGGCTCCCGGTGCATGGAGCCTGCTTCTCCCTCTGCCTGTGTCTCTGCCTCTCTCTCTCTCTCTGTATGACTATCATAAATGAATAAAAAAAAATTAAAAAAAAAAAAAAAGGAAGGCCTCGCAGGTGCGGGCGCTGCCCGGGAAGAGCTCCCTGGCCAGGCGTTCCAGGCGCTGGCCGTGCTCGGGGGGCACGGCGTACCAAGTCTTGGGCTGCCCGAAGTGCAGGTAGTTGATGCTGTACAGGTCCATGTCCTCCGTGTGCCAGGCGAAGGTGGTCTTCCACATGCCGAAGTACAGGTAGGGGGTGTTGACGCCCTCCATGACCACGCCGCACTCCTGCTCCAGCGGGTCCTGAGGGGTTCCCAGGCCCAGGTTTCAGAGTTTGGATCATATAAAGAGCCATTGACTTTTAACGGAGTAATTTGGCCGGATGTATAAGCGTTTCTTCAAATATTTTCGCTGCAGATCCTCTCAATGCACCTGTGTCTGGATGTGATGCAATAGCCCCCCCCCCGTCCCCCCCTTAAGCTGGTGAGTTTTCCCACAGCCCGCCCTTCTCCTTGCTGTTATTGGTGACGGACTGCGCTCCCCCTCGCCCCCTGCTGCACAGGAGCGGCTATTGCAGGGACCCTGGACGAGCCGGTCCCCGTTTATTAGCCAGGCCACTGCCGCGCCTGTGATTGGACTCCAAGTCAGCAACGTAATTCTGAAATATTTAACTGTTTTGCACTGCTGGATGAAATGTCATTATTGTAAGACTTAGATTCTAGATGCCATGTTCCTGAGGTGCTATGGTTTCAAATGAATAAGCATCACAGTTCCAAATCCCAAGGCCTGTTCTCCATACAGTAAGGTTGCCGGAAACCACATATAAACCGAAGTATTAATTACTACAATGATAAAACCTCTCATATATGTCACGAACCACCACCAATTCCAACTTGAACTTTTTAAGCAACTGAAATTGTAAGAACAACTCTCATTCATTCAGGAACTAAATCTTATTTTCAGAAGTTTCTTGCACAGAGGAAATGGATTTTTTTTTAAGATTTTATTTATTTATGTGACAGAGAGGGAGGGAGAGCACAAGTAAGGAGAGCCCCCACTGAGCACAGAGCCCCCACTGAGCACAGAGCCCAACAGGACCCTGGGATCATGACCTGAGCCAAGACAGCCACTTAACTGACTGAGCCACCAGGGCATCCTGGAAACAGGATATTTTTTGACTGGCATTTCAATCAAAACATATTATTGAAGATAGACATAATTGAGGGAATAATTTTATTCAATCAGCTCCAATATACTTCTGTTGTCAACAGACCAATCAGATTCCCAAAATTCTTGTTCAGTGCTAGTAAATCTCAGTTTCTTATCATCTTACTAAAAAAAAACTATTTGGGGTAAAAATATTTCTTTCAAACCTGAAGATAGAAAGGTACAAAAACTCACATGTCTTAAGAGTGTGAAGACTTGATAAAAATTTTAAAAACGTTCTTAATCATCAAAATAAAAAGTAAGATTTAAAACTTTTAATTTTTTTTTTAATGATAGTCACACACACAGAGAGACAGAGAGAGGCAGAGACACACAGGCAGAGGGAGAAGCAGGCTCCATGCACCGGGAGCCCGACGTGGGATTCGATCCCGGGTCTCCAGGATCGCGCCCTGGGCCAAAGGCAGGCGATAAACCGCTGCGCCACCCAGGAATCCCGATTTAAAACAGGGATCTCTGGGTGGCGCAGCGGTTTGGCGCCTGCCTTTGGCCCAGGGCGCGATCCTGGAGACCCGGGATCGAATCCCATATCGGGCTCCCGCTGCATGGGGCCTGCTTCTCCATCTGCCTATGTCTCTGCCTCTCTCTTTCTCTCTCTGTGACTATCATAAATAAATAATAATAAATAAATTTTAAAACTTTTAAACACCATTTCAAATGTAAATAGTTCTTGCCTTAATCTTTTACATGTTTGTTTGTTCTTTTTAAAGAACAAGGGTGAAGGATTAAACAGGAAATTGTCCAATAATATGCAATCCTGATTTGACACAAGCATTTTCCAAGATCTGGAAATATGCTTTCCCCTTTGAACACAACCTCAAAATGAAGCAGCATGAATTTATGGCTCTATGTGTTCCATCAAAAATTAAATTCACTCAAACTATTCTTATCCAATCCTTCAATATCCTCCAAAATCATTCATGTCAAACTCTGGTCTACTCCTTCAAGTTCCCATAAAATAAAGACTGCCTGATAAAATCTGTCTTTAAAACTTTTTTAAAATTAATTAATTTCTTTGAGAGAGAAAGAGAACATAAGCTGGGAAAGTGGCAGAGGGAGACTCCCCACTGAGCAGGGAGCCTAACAGGGGGCTTGATCACAAGGCTGTGGGATCATGTGATCTGAGTCAAAGCATCTGCTTAATGTAGAGTAAGCAGGCACCCCCCCAACCAGGCACCCCCCCAATTTTTTTTAAGATTTTATTTATTTTATTTGAGAGAGAGAGAGAGCCGGGGCAGGGGGAGCGGGGAGCAGAGGGGGAGAGAGAATCTTAAGCACAAAGCTCCATACCCAGCACAAAGCCTGACTCTGGGCTCAATCTCATAACTCTGAGATCAGGATCTGGGCTGAAACCAAGAGTCGGATGCTTAACTCACTGAGCCATCCAGATGCTCTGTCTTTAAAACATCAAAAAAAAAAAACTTTTAACATGACAACATAGCAAAACTAGTTACCACCCATGACACAATAACTAAATGTGTGTACATATATCTATAACTAAATGTGCATACACACACACACGTGTGTGTGTGTGTATGCATTTTTAATCCAGGATAAATGGAAACTCCATCTATCATGATTTCCAAAGCAAAAATTGAAATATGTTCCTACAACTGGAAAACAAAAGCTTTAAACTTTTAACAAAGGAAGTTCTCCCTTTCTATCAATTTCACACATTTAATAAGAAAAAAAGAACAGAATAATACATAGCCTATCTTCCACTGATCTGAAATCCTGATTTCAAATAAGACACTCCCAGCCCCATAAAGTGCTTTCTCACTGGAGTCATCTTCAAAAAATGAAAAGGAATGGAGTGATAAGCCAATAACATTTTATTTTATTTTTATTTTTTAAATAAGCTCTATGCCCACAGAGGTGCTTAAACTCAGGACCCTGATCAGGATAAAAAGTCATAAACTCTACTTCTACTGACTGAGCCAGCCAGGGACACTGCCACAATATTTTAATTCAATCATTTGTATCTTAATCCAATCCCAAGGCTCCTCACTGTAATTCAAGAGAGAATTAAAATTAAAAGCCACAAAAAGGTAAGGATCCAGAGAAATTTTTAATCAGGAGAGATGAAAAACCCTAGCTAGCTGACTTCAGTAAATCATGGACTCAAATTAGTACGAATTGAGTGGCGACAATGCTTAGGTATCAAGAGAGGTCCAACGGAGAATAGAAAAATGAATCAAAAGATGTTTCTTTCCATGGGAAAGATAAGACAAATGCAGAATTAATACTAATTGACAAATTGGATTTGGGCTCAGGTCATGATTGCAGGGTCAAGAGATGGAGCCCTGCGTCAGGCTGGGGTGGGTGAGGAGCCTGCCTAAGGTTCTCTCTCTCTGCCCCTCCCCCTACCTGTCCCCTGCTAGCACTCTCTCTCTAATAAGAAAAAGAAAGAAGAAATGAAGAAAGAAAGAAAGAAAGAAAGAAAGAAAGAAAGAAAGAAAGAAAGAAAAGAAAGAGAAAATACATTTCCAGTATTCTACTATATTTATTGGAACAAATCCACATACACATAGACTCTCGAAGTTCAAACTCATGTTGTTCAGGGTCAACTGTAGTGACTGGGTATGAGTGACCACTGACATAAACAAGAAAGACACAGAATAATAATTTTAAAAAATACCTAGAAGGTTGCAAAAGTTTTCTTAATATCATTCAGCAAGCTGACCTCTCAGTTCATTCACCTCCACTCCTTTCTTAAATGATCTTTATCCTCACCCCAACTTAGTCATCCTATGATCATCCTCACCTTTTCTGAAATCTTGACTTAAGAATCCTTAATTGACTACCCTTTCAGTTTGCATGAAATATACCCAATTTTTTTTTTACATAAATGAGAATCGCCAAATGTCTGGTTCTCTCAGTTCTCTCCTTTTTTCTACTAATTTTATTTTTTTTTAATTTTTATTTATTTATGATAGTCACAGAGAGAGAGAGAGAGAGGCAGAGACACAGGCAGAGGGAGAAGCAGGCTCCATGCACTGGAAGCCCGATGTGGGACTCGATTCCGGGTCTCCAGGATCGCGCCCTGGGCCAAAGGCAGGCGCCAAACCGCTGCGCCACCCAGGGATCCCCTTTTCTACTCATTTTAGATGAAAAATGAAGTTTTGATAGATTTTTTTCCCCAGAAGTCAAATCTGGGCAGCACAGAGCCATGCTATGGTAGAGTAAGAGAGAGAGAGAGAGAGAGAGGAAAAAAAAGATATAATTAGCTTCCTCCTTGGGTTTTCCAGATACTTACTCATACCTACTTCAAAAAAAAAAAAAAAAGACTAATTTCATCACTTCCCTTCCAACACTTAAAGTTCTAATATTTTGCATTGGCTGATATGTCCAATTCTATTTTACTTGTTGGTATAAATGTCTCAAATTTTTCTATGTTCAGTGAAATGCTGGCTTTGGAGTTAAAATAGCTAACTAGATGGAGAAAATGCTTTCATTTCAAGGAAGTGTTTATTCATTGATTCTTGTGTGGGAGTGTGTTTGAAACAAGACGAAGTGTTGAGTTTTGTCAAATGAGTAACAGCATCCACATAAAAGGTCATATAGCTTTTTTTCTTGGAACTATTAATAAGGTAAGTTATATTATCACGTTTTCATGTTTTAAATCATCATTGCCTTCCTGCAATAAATCCTAATTAGTCATTATGTTATGTTTATAATGTAGTTCCCTTTCTTAGCTAATTTTAATTTAAAACTTTTGCTAGTATGCTCAGAAATAACATTTGTCTATTACTTGCTTTCATTATACAACTTATGAAGTTTTTCTATCAATGTTGTGCTTGCTTTAAAACTTTGAATTTTTTCTTCTTTTTGAATATCTACTTTATAAAGTTCTTACCATTATGCTGTGAAAAATTACCTGGTACTAGTGATTTTTGAAGAAGCAGATTTTTTTATGTTTCTGTATTTCCTACAGACAAATTTATGTTTTAGATGTTCTTTCTTTTTTTAAGTCAATTTCAGTTAATTTTTCCCAGAAAATTATCTATACTCTCTGATCTTTTTGTTGATTTATTAGTTATATTTTTTCTAACTCATCAATTAATGTTATAAATTCCTTCCTATTACTTTGTTTTTCCCCAATGTTATGAGATAGAAGCTTAATCCAGTTAATTTTATTCTTTCAATTTTATTGATAAAAATACTTAATGCTATAAATTTTCCTTAATACTATTTTAACTGAGTATCACATATTCCTATGTATAATTCATTTTTAAATCTGAAAACACTCCAATATTCTTGGGTTCCAGGCATAATCTTAGCGCTTTACAAGTATTAAGTCATAGAAGCAACATACCAATCATAGGAGGTAGGTGCTGTTGCTCTCCCCATTTTACAATTGGGGAAACTGAGTCGTCACTAGTAATTTGTCAAGGTCACACAAAGTGGTAAGAGTTAAGCTAGGTTTCAAAATCAGGCAGTCTGGCTCCAAAGGTCATGTAACTAAAAATTATTTATTCTGGGGGCACCTGGGTGTCTTAGTGGGTTAAGTGTCTCCCTTTTTAGTTCAGGTCCTGATCCCAGGGTCTGAGATGGAGCCCCACGACAGTAGGGAGCCTGCTTCTGCCTCTCCTTCCACCTTATGCTCTCTGTCACTATCTCTGTCTTTGTCTCTCTCTCTTTCTCTCAAATCCATAAATAAAATCTTTAAAAAAATTATTTACTCTGTTTCCTTGTTTCCTGGAAATGTGGCTCAGATCAAGTCATTCAACTGAGAATTTTTAGCTTTTCAGGAAAATGACCTCTATATTTTCTGATTTAAAAAATTAATTTCTAGTTTTTTTGGTTTTGTTTCCTATTTCAGAGAGAGAGAGCACACGAAAGGGGTGCAGAGGGAATGGGAAAGAACAGTCAAGCAGACTCCCCATACCTAGAGCAGAGCTGGAAGCTGCCCAATCCCAGGACCCAGAGATCATCACCTGGGAGGAAACCAAGAGTCAGACAACCAGTTAACTGAGTCACCCAGGTACCCCCAATTTCTAGTATTATTGCATGATAATCACTAAGGGTTTTTTTCTTTGTTTTTTGATGCTTTATTGATGGCTTTTTTTTTTTTACCCTAATATATTGTCAATTTTTGTGATTGATCCACTGGTACTTGATGAAAGTGAGTGTTCTCTATCACCAGATACATAAGTTCTGCCTATTTTAATGCTGTTTAAGTTTTTGACACTCTTAAGTTTGTCCGTTTTTTTTCTGTCTTGCACCAAGTAAGGTAAAAGGGTTTCTGAACACCCAGTTCTGGTGTGTGTTCCTGTTTCCCATCAGCAGGCTGTCTGAAAACCAACTCAGTTCTGAAACTCTCTACCTGATGATAGCATCAGGTCCCACAAGTTAAAGGGTCAAGACTGCTGCATCTCCTCCCCCCATCCTGCCACTGTCTCCCCTCCTCTGCCTCTTCGAACATTCCTGTGCTTCTGACCAACTAGCTATAAATGAGGTTCCCTCCACTCCTTTTGATTTGATTACTTTGCTAGAAAGGCTCACAGAACTCCGCAACCTTTCACTTACTAGGTCACCAGTTTTTTTTATAAAACAATATGACTCAGGAGCAGCTGCGTGGGAAAGATGAAGAGGGCAAGGTATAAGGAATGGGTGCAGAGCTTTCTCTCCAGGGGCACCACTCTCCCAGAACCCCAATGTATTCACCAACTCGGAAGCTCTCCAAACCCAGTCCTTTGGGGCTTTTAAGGAGGCTTCATTACCTAGGCCTGATTGTTTCAATCATTGGCCATTGGCTATTTATCCAACCTCTGGCCTCTCATGCCTGCCTGGAGGTCAAGGAGTTGGGATTGGAAGTTCCAACCCTCTAATCACATGGTTGGTTTCTCTGGTTAGTCACATTTAGGTGACTAGGGCATTCCAAAAACCACAGCATTAACATAAGACACCTTTATCATTCGTATTTCTTAGGCGATCCCAAGGGCTTTAGAGCCTGATGCCAAAAACAGGGATGAAGACCAAATGTGTATTTCATATTATAAATCAGAGTATCACAAGGGCGCCTGAGTGGCCCAGTCAGTTAAGCATCTGCCTTCGGCTCAGGTCATAATCCCTGGGGTCCTGGGATCAAGTCCCAAAGTTAGGCTCCCTGCTCAGCAGGTTGTCCTTCTCCCTCTCCCTCTGCCAGTCCCCCTGCTTGTGCTCTCTCTCTCTCAAATACATAAATAAAATATAAATAAATAAATAAACAAACAGTATCATATAAGGTGACAGATTCTCCTATTTTGATGTATTCTTTCAACTTGTTTCATCTAGTGTTTTAAATCTGCTTTTCATCCAAAAAGTAATTTATACTTTGTCAAAGTTGCATAGATATTCATAACTGCTGTATTTTCTTACCTTTTTTTTAAAGATGCTATGTATTTATGTGAGAGAGAGAGTACACATGAGCAGGGGGAGGGGCCAGGGAGAGGGTCAAGTAGACTCCCTGCTGAGCCAGAAGCTCAATTCAGGCCTGAATCCCAGGTCCTTGGATCATGACCCCAGCCAAAGGCAGATGCTTAACTGACTGAGCCACCCTGACTGCTATATTTTCATGGTAAAATTTAGTCATTGACATTATAAAAAGCCTTTCCATGTGTCTTTTAGCCTTGATTCTAGATTGTCTGATATTAAAACCCATGACTGCTGCTTTCTGTTTGTATTTTGTTTTGTATAGTTCTGCTTATTCTTTTAACTATACTTAATCTCTGTTTCAGACTTTCAAAAGAAAAACTGAGACATAGTAAAATTTTTAAGGGTTTATTTGAGCAAAAATCAATTCAAATCAGGCAGCATCCAATCAAGCAGATAGAAAAGAGCTCCAAAATGAAAGATTTTCATAGGCGGAAGGGGACAGGAACCAGAAAGTTATACTAGGCAAAAAATTGGGTTGGGACAGGAACCCTGTCCTTTAGAGGATGGGAGAAGTCTAGCAGGTGGATAACCTAACGAGTACTGGTCAGGTGATTCCCGATTATCTGGTTTAAGCCTCTATTTCTGAGAAAGTTGAAACTATTTAGTCTCTGCTTCGTGACATGGGGCTTAGCTTAAGACACTATTTTGGAACTGTTTTAAACTGTGTCTTGTTTTTAACAAGGTATCTCATATAAAATCCTGATTTAAAAAACATATTTAAAAGATTTTAACCTTTCTTTTTGCCTTGCAGGTACACACTATAGGCAACAACTTTAATAAGGATCATGGGCAATATCTTCAATAGCCATGAGCTCAAAGGCTAAAGCTCTTCTATCAGGGCTGAACACATCATAGGGTTCAAAGATGGAAACTGCCTGGGGCTTTAATTCCAGAGGATCACAATCAGGGATGCAAGGGCTGCTGGCGACTGGAGCTGGGGTCAGATCCATAGAGGCATAAGTGTGGTCCATCATGACAATCTCAGAGAGGTTCACAGGGGCCCTGCTGTCGCCCCCAGCATGCCTGGGGAATCTCAGCATCCCAGCAACTGCAGGAGGAGCCAGTGGAACACTGTCGGAGAAGCTGACTGTAATTCTGTCCAGGGATAGCAGGCACGGGCCAGGGTGCATCGGATTATCAGGATCCAACGGGGGCCCTAAAGGCTGAAGATCAGGGGCACAACAGCAGCCAGAAGCCTCAGCGGGTTGCTGGAGCCCGGGACTCAGCGGTGCAGGGCTGTCCATCCAGCCTCCACCCACAGGCAGGGACTGAGCCTCCGAGTGCTGAGCTGTGTGCCCGGTTCCCACCGAGAGGCGCCTCTTGGCCCGGGCCTGGGTGCCAGATCCCTGAGCCCCCTGCTGCCGGGGACGACGACCAGGACCACACCTACCAGTCGAGGGCTGCAGATCTGGGGCAGAGGGAGTGAGGGTCGGTGGCCGGGTGGGGCCGGGCCCCCGGGAGGTGCGGCCGGCAACAGCGCCAGCCCGGCCATCAGAGGAGCAGCTCTGGGTGGGCGAGGGGCGCGGAGAGGCCGGGCGCAGAGGGGTGCGGCGGCGGGTGCCCTGACCTGCCGCCACGGGTCGAGGGGCACGCGGGGCGCGGCACGGTGGGAGGTGCCTCAGGCCCAGCGCGGCCCTCCCCGGGGCTCGCACCCCCCTCCAGGCGCTCAGCTCCCGGCTGTCCGCGGCCGTGGGCTCCGTGTGGTCCACAGCAGCCCGGTCCTGCCCGCGCTTCCACAGCTCATAGCGCTCAGGTTGCAGGATGCGCACGAAGGCGTCCATGGAGAAGGTGACCCTGGCCTCCCCGCAGCTGCACTGAGAGGCCACTTTGCCGTAGTCGATCCAGCGCGGGGTGGCGAAGTTGATGGCCTCTGCGCAGTTGAAGCCGTGGTTGAAGCCAGAGTGGTAGCCGTAGGGAAACGTCACCATGAACTCGCCAGCCTCCTGGGTGATCCGATTGAAGGGGATCCCGTTGTCCCTGAGGACCGTGGGCGAGATGAGAGCCACCTTGTGCCTCAGGAAGGCCTCGCAGGTGCGGGCGCTGCCCGGGAAGAGCTCCCTGGCCAGGCGTTCCAGGCGCTGGCCGTGCTCGGGGGGCACGGCGTACCAAGTCTTGGGCTGCCCGAAGTGCAGGTAGTTGATGCTGTACAGGTCCATGTCCTCCGTGTGCCAGGCGAAGGTGGTCTTCCACATGCCGAAGTACAGGTAGGGGGTGTTGACGCCCTCGATGACCACGCCGCACTCCTGCTCCAGCGGGTCTTGAATGGTTCCCAGGTGCCCAAGGTTCCACTCCTTCGTGTTTTCATCAAACAAGGAGCCGCTGATGTCAGCACCATAGATCGGAGAATCATAGAGACGGGTTTTCCAGTATTTTCGCTCCAAATCCTCAAAATCCAGGTGTGGTGGAGTCCGGTATTTTATGCTGTTTGCCAGTTGGCGATACTCCCCCACTGTCGTGGCTCTCTTCTTCTTATGGTATTGAGTAAACACACCTGCCTGCCCGGAGACCACCTGCTGGAGGGGAGTTGCTATTAAGATGTCACTGATATCATCGTAGGTCTGTCTGGCTTTCCACTCCTTGGGTGGAATCACCTTGGCGAGGCCTGCGCGGTGTGCACCTTGGGACTCCATGTAAGCAATATATTTGCTGAAGTCTTTAAATTCTTGCATGGTTGGGTGGAAGGTCATGACTGTAAAGCTTGGGTTCTGAGTACCATAGTGCTTGGACTTCATGTCTGCAGAATAAGCATGAAAAGCACAAGAAGACCTGAAACCAATATAACACTGACTGTTAATTAAACTTCAATTTAAAAAAATATTTCTCAACTTCTCTTTTTAAAAAGAAAGAAAGAGGGATCCCTGGGTGGCGCAGCGGTTTGGCGCCTGCTTTTGGCCCAGGGCGCGATCCTGGAGACCCGGGATCGAATCCCACATCAGGCTCCCGGTGCATGGAGCCTGCTTCTCCCTCTGCCTGTGTCTCTGCCTCTCTCTCTCTCTCTCTCTCTCTCTCTCTCTCTCTCTCTCTCTGTGTGTGTGTGTGTGACTATCATAAATAAAAAAAATAAAATAAAATAAAAAAATAAAAATAAAGAAAGAAAGAAAAAAAGAAAGGGTGCCTGGATGGCTCAGCTGGTTAAGTGTCTGCCTTTGGCGGGGATCATGATCCCAGGGTCCTGAGATGGAGCCCTGTGTCCAGCTCCCTGCTCAGGCGGGGAGTCTGCTTCTCCCTCTGCCTGTGCCCCTCTACCTCCTACTCATGTTCTCTCTCTTTCTCTCAAGTAAATAAATAAAATCTTAAAAAACAAATAAATAAAACTGGATTTACTATCATCCCCCTCCCCCACTTCCAAAAAAAAAAGTGATACACACCCCCACACACCCCCCCACACACACAAGGGAATATCATTTACTCATGAGAAAGATGAAAATCTATGGAAATCCTATTATTTGGGACCACAGAGACCTTGAGAGCAACATGATAAGTGAGATAAGCCAGATAGAGAAAGACAAATACTGCATGGTATCACTTATATATTAATCTTAATTTTTTTTTAAGTCGAGATTTACAGAAACAGTGGAAAAAGTGGTTGGGAGGGCCTGGGGACTGAGGGTCATAGGAAAAGGTTGGTAAAAGGCTACAAAATTTCAGCTATAAGATGAATAAATTCTGAGAGGATCTATGGTAAAACATGGTGACTATCCTTGATAAAACTGTGCTAATTGAAGCTTTATGAGAGTAGAACTTAAATATTCTCACTGAAATATAAAAAATAAAAAGTTAATACATGAGATGATTGTTGTATTAATTACCTAGATGGGGGAATCATTTTACAATGTGTACATCCAACAAATCACCACAATGTTCACTTTCAAAATTTTACAATTCTTTAATGTCAGTGATACCTCAGTAAAGTTAAAATTTAAAAAAAAAGAATTTCAGGGCAAATCATAAGACAGAAAAGGAACAACATCTAACTGAACTAAGAGAAAAATTAAGCAAGTTTGTAAATCATTGAGTGAAGCACTTAACTCAATAAACTGGATGAATTAACCTCAAAGGTAAATTAAGGAAAGGAAAACAAAGATATAAACTAAAATGATTGCAAATGAAATATAACACCCAACAGAAATGATTACTGAAACCAAAACTTAATCCCTTTTTTAAAAAGATTTGATTTATTTATTTGACAGAGAGAGAGCACATGCAGGTAGAGGGAGAAGCAGGCTTCCCGCTGAGTAGGGAACCCAGGGCAGGGCTTGATCCCAGGACTCTGGAATCACTGATCTGAGCCAAAGGCAGAAGACACCCAACTGACAGGCCACCCAGGTGCCCTGCAAAACCTGATTCTTATAAAAGACCATTAGAAGTGAAAAGACAGGGGTGCCTGGGTGGCACAGTCAGTTAAGTGTCAGACTCTTGGTTTCACCTCAGGTCATGATCTCAAGATTCAGAAATTGAGCCCTGCCTCCCGCCTCCCACTCAGCATCCAGCTTCCCACTCAGCACCAAGTCTGATTGAGATTCTCTCCCTCCCCTTCCACCCTTCCCAACCCCACACTCAGTCTCTCTCCCAAAAAATATAGAAATAAAATCTTTAAAAAAAATGAGAAGACTTAGGCATGAAAAACACAAATAGACCACATTATGATCAAATAGGAGATATAGCTAAACATCTAGCACAGAATTTTTAAAATTTAATTGAATTTTGTAAATAACTTGGTGTTACTAATTTTGAAAACTAAAGTGGACAATTTTCTCAAAGTACAAATATCCCAGAGTGGTCCAAGAAAAAAGGGAGAATACTTATATATACTAAAAAACTTAATAGAATATAATATCTGTTTAAGTATGACCCATAAAACCTAAAATATCATTTTATAAGTGGACTCTATACAAACTTTTCTAGGGTATGATATTCAGTTTCTTTTCTTTAGGATTTTTTTCACTTATTTATTTGACAGAGAGAGAGCACAAGCAAGGGGAGCAGCAGAGGGAGGAGAAGCAGGCCCCCCACCCAGCAGGGACCCCAAGTCGGGGCTCGATCCCAGGACCCCGGGATCATGACCCAAGCTGAAGCCAGACACTTAACTGACTGAGCCACCCAGGTGCCCCTCAGTCTGTTTTCTGAGGCTACAAGCATAACCTTGAAACTAAACCCAGAAGGGCCAGTACTGGATAAAAACTCTATAGGGTCAATGTTAGCTACGGGAAAAGTCACACAAACCTAAGATAAAATATTATCAAATTTTTACCACAACAGGGCATTGAAAGAATAACATGTCATGATAAATTATTGCAAGGACGGTTTGAAAACTAGCATTGTTGGGACACCTGAGTGGCTCAGTCGGTTAAGCAACAGACTCTTGATTTCTGCTCAGGTCATGATCTCAGGGTCCTGGGATTGAACCCTGCTTCAGTCTCACTCCTTGCTCAGTTGCAGAGTCTGCTAATCCTTCTCCCTGCCTGGATTGTGCTCTCTCTCTCTCTCAAATAAATAAAATAAAATCTTAAAAAAAAAACTTCTAGAGGTATTACTACCATAACAAATGAAATGGAAAATTCATCATCTTATGCTATGCAGAAAAATACTTGAAATAACTCAACATCTATTTAATTATTTTAATACATGTTTTTTAAAAAAGAGGAAAGAAGTCTCAGAAAAAAGTGTTATGTAAACAAAAAGGAGGCAAAAATACAGAACATAAATGTCCATATTAATTATGCACTTAATGTACACACCCATGATTCTTAATGGATAAACACTTGAAGCAATCTATTTAAAACCTAACCATATCACATTAAAAGACAAGTTATTAGAAATAATAGTGTTCAGCAAAGTTTCTGGACACAGATTAGCATCCAGAAATCTGTAGCATTCTGTTTGAATCCAGTTAATAACCACCCGGACAGTAGTCTCCACTGATCTTCCGGGGTTACATTCCAAGACCTCCCACGGATGTCTGAAACTAAGGATGGTACTGAACCCTATATGTACTGTGTTTTTCCTATGCATGTGTATCTCTGCTAAAGTTTAATGTAAAAATTAGGCACAGTAAGAGATAAACAACTGTAATTATAAAATAGAACAAGTATAACAATACAGTGAAATAGAAGTTATGTGAATGTTATCTCTTCTCTCCCAAAAGATCTTATTGTTTGTACACATCTTTCTTATGTGATGATAAAATGCCTATGTGACCAGTGAAGTGAGGGGAGTGACAATGCACTAGGATGTAGCATTAGGCTACTATTGACTTTCTGACCAAGCATCAGAAGGAGGACCCTCTGCTTCTGGACCTTGGTAACCACAAGTCCCTGGAGCTGAGGAAAGCGACACTGTGGATTAAGACTACTATAATGTGAGATAGCAAAAAGATTTCAATCCCTTTCAGCAGCAGAAATACAAGATTTCAGGGAAGAAATCTAAAAATGATATGCACATAATATTTGTACTTTGAAGGCATAAATAAAGAAGAATTTTGGGGCACCTGGGTGGCTTAGTCGGTTAAGTATCTGCCTTCAGCTCAGGCCATGATCCTGGAGTCCCAGGATCGAGGCCTGCATCGGGCTCCCTGCTCAGCAGGGAGTCTGCTTCTCCCTCTGCTCCTCACCCTGCTCGTGCTCTCTCTCCCTCCCGCTCCCAAATAAATGAATAAAATCTTTTTAAAAAATAGGAATTTTAGGGCAGCCCCGGTGGCGCAGCGGTTTAGCGCCGCCTGCAGCCCGGGGTGTGGTCCTGGAGACCCAGGATCCAGTCACACATCGGGCTCCCAGCATGGAGACTGCTTCTCTCTCTGCCTGTGTCTCTGCCTCTCTTTTGCTCTCTCTGAATAAATAAATAAATAAATCTTTTAAAAAAAATAGGAATTTACCAGGAATAAATTGCTCCCTGATATAAAATGTCATCTTTTCGTCTGTTTTATGCTTTAAAAGAAAAACCCAAAGCAAAACCAAAACAAATGCTTGCTTACTACTAATTTAAGATCTTGATTCCAAATGATGATCCACTAAGCTCCAGCTCAGTATGTACCACTCTAATTCTAATCCAATTAGCACCACCAAATTCTGCTACTCCCATATCCAATCCAGGTCTCTAATTTAGTCTCACAAATTTCCCAGTTCCCTTTCAATTGGCTCACTCCTTGGCCGGTTGTAGAAACCTCTCTTGATTCTGTCGGATACCAGCCTGCTACATGCAGTGCTTTCTCCTGAAAATCTGTGGTTTTTACCAAGAAGATATTACGAAAACAGCTAACTCTGCAAGTCTGAAAACAAGTTTAAAAGTTAAAAAACTCTTTTTTTTTTAAAACTTATGATAGTCACACAGAGAGAGAGAGAGAGAGAGAGGCAGAGACATAGGCAGAGGGAGAAGCAGGCTCCATGCACTGGGAGCCTGACATGGGATTCAATCCCGGGTCTCCAGGATGGCACCCTGGGCCAAAGGCAGGCGCTAAACCGCTGCCACCCAGGGATCCCTTAAAAAACTCTTTTAACTCAAGGAAATGATAATCCCAATGCATATTTCTCAATTGTAAATATAGTTATAAAACTAGTCACTTACTGAAACTTGTAACTGAAAAATAACTCTTTTGCAAGCAAGTACAAATAAAAGAAAGTGACCTACCTTCCACCAACAAAATCCTGATTCCAGTTGAAGGTACTCCAGGACCCAGAGAGGCAGTGTCCTCTTGGTAGCCTGACTCCAAATGTAGCTGCCAAGTCCTTATGGCTCT